AATATACCGGTTCATGATAATGAATGAGAAAGAAGCCAATATCGAAGCGATCACAAATAATAGGCATTGAACAAGTTATCAGACTTGATAATTTTTAAAAACAAATAAGCAAATTCACTGAATAATTTACGATGTATCATAATTGCTATGCAACACAAATCACATAAGGGTGAATTTCCAGAAAGTGTTTATGAGTAATCACAGTTCAGAAAAAGTTTTTGTGTAATCATTTCGAGAGTGTTCTAACTGTGTGGCATTGCTTTTAGGATTGGTTGATACATTCTGGAATTGTTTCATGAAGGAGAAAAGTGTCTTTCTTCATCTTGCAATTAATTCACTGCAATCCGTTTGAAGAACTATCACATCTATGAAAGCGGCTGCGATGTGCTTAATCAATTATTATTGGACACTATTATATTTGTGCAATCAAACGAGATTATCCTCGCGATAGACTGCAGCCAAGAAGCCTTTATTGACTGATAGCGCATACAACGACTTGTGCGCGAGTGCGGCATCGTCGGTTGCCTCGAAGCTGTCACCAGAAGTGGAAATTTGACGGATTTTGCCATCTCTCACGTCGTGAACGAACACTTTCTTCTCCTCATCCACACAAACTGTACCGGGCTTTTCGACGGGATTCATTGCGCGTCTTATCGCTATCAATGAATCACGCACACTCAACACGTACACTGCACCACGACGTTCCTCCATCAAAAGCACCTCGGTGACTGGGCCAATCACACTCAGAACCTGAACACTGACCCATTCATAATCATAGGCTAAATTATCTTGATCGTTTAATGATGGCCTTTGAAGCCGGCCAGATGCGTGGCAACCTCTGTCAATCGGGACGAGAGGCAGTTAGCTGCCTTAGAATACAAATGTTGTCAAAAAGGAAACTTATTTCAAGTCGGCATCGAAAACATATGTATGAAACATCGAAACATTATTATCAATCAACTTTATAACGCACACACACTTTGTGAATACAGTAACTGAACGTCAACGAAAGATTGACCACGTTTCTGGTCCAGTTCGGTCCATCTGCCCTCAGCCGACAACTCGAAAAGTGAACTGAACGTTTCACCAGCCACTGCAAAATAGATATTTCCGTTCGATGCGGCGCAAAGTCGTTCGCGTAATATAGTCTCCTCTTCAATCCACTTGGGTCCTTCGATTTTAGCAGTGAAGTTCAATTCCGAATCAAATTTCATT